TAAAAAGTCAGTGAAAGTGTGGCACTTCCAGCTGATTTTTAAATCAAACCTCAGAACATAACCTGCTACTGAGCAGGGTTTGTGTTCAGAATCAGTTACCTTGGTGATTTAGCAAGGGAAAAAAGAGAGCCACTGACACAATCTAACCTTTTAATCTCCATCCATGGTACATCCCTTTGTACTGCAAAGCAGGGTTATCATATTCAGGTTAGGTTAACCTAGTCTCAGTATGGTTTTAGTATGGTACTAGAAAGGTGGTTTACATCTTATTTAGGTATATCACCATGGTAACATATGCTGTAAAACTAACCTGAAATCACTGCCCACTGACCAGTCTGATGGAAAATACATGCTGTAAAATAAAATAATTGTCCCCTCACTGATCTATTTTGTACGTATTTGTTGGACTTCCATTTTAAAATGTCTGATTTAGGGTCAAAAGCATTTATGAGACCAACATATTAAAAGTTATTTACTGTCATATTTACATGCAATTTCCACTGTAAACCAGCAGTTATAGTACATAAATATCACATGTGTGCATCATTGATTAAAGTAGACTTGTAAAACAGAGTGAGGCAAGTTCAAGTAGTGAAAAAAACATTTTCTGAATTTATGTAAAACAATATGAGAAAAAAAAGTGTGAAACAAGACAGAGCGCTCTGATATTTCAGGGATTACACCTTAAAATTTTCAATTAATTAATTAATTGAAATACTTAAGTTAAAAAAAGAGCCAACAGTTGTAAATACAGTTCAAGAGGACAGGCACATGCTGAAGTTTACGCCTCAAGAAAGTCAACACCACAACACAGGAAGTGACATTGAATCCATAATGATATAATATTTTTGGTCTTGTCTTACTTTCTAGCAGCTTTTAAACCTGTTCAGAAAATGACTAAGGAATAAATATAATTAACAATTATTAGATTATTACTGTGGAGATAATAATAATAATCATCATCATTATTATTATAACTAAAGCTCTCCCAAATTTTGTAAGTAAGTAAAAACCTTTAAACTGTATGAATTTTCATATGTCTTTTCAAATGGATAATCTGAATGAATCTTTTCCCACATATGCTACAAGAGTGTATCTTTTCCCCTGTGTGAATTCTTATATGAGTTTTCAATGTTGATGAAACCGTAAATTCTTTCCCACAGGTGTTACAAGAATAGGGCCTCTCACCTGTGTGAACTCTCACGTGGGTTTTTAATGTTGATTTTCGACTGAATGTTTTCCCACAGGTGCTGCAAGAATACGGCTTCTCACCTGTGTGAATTCTCATATGACGTTTCAGTTCTGATTTCCAGGTAAATGTTTTCCCACACGTGCTACAAGAATGTGGCTTCTCACCCGTGTGGATTCTGATGTGATGTGCCAAAGTTGATTTCTGACTGAATGAGTTACCACAGGTGTTACAAGAATATGGCTTCTCGCCCGTGTGAATTCTCATGTGAGTTTTCAAGTTTATAATTTGACTGAATCTTTTTCCACAGGTGCTACAAGAATGTGGCTTCTCACCTGTATGAATTTTCAAATGTTTAGTTAGTCTGGATTTATCGTGAAACGCTTTTCCACAAGTGTCACATTTTACAGATGTTTTTCCACAAGTGTCACACTTTACAGACTTTTTACTTGTGTCAGTGTTACACTGACTCTCTGATCCAGGAGAGTTGCAAGAAAGTTTCCGGTCACTGTGTGCTTCTGGTTCACTGTGATCACTTTCCTCGTGGGTCACCACAAAATTATCAGACTCCTGCTTCAGTCCAAGCTGCTCCCTTTCCTGACTGGTACAGAGTTCCTCCTTTTCCTCTTTAATCTGTGGAGGCTCTGCGTCATCCTGGTCTAGACTGGAGTTCTTATCCTGCTTACAGACCTGCTGGTCTGTGAGATCCTCCTCCTCCTCCTTAGAGACATGCTGATGTTGGAGGTCTGAAGGGACAAAATGAAAAAGAAAAAACTGAAACATCTGAAAAAAATACATTTTAATCTTCATCCGTAGGAGTATCGATAAAGTGTTGCTTGACTCTGAAATAATGCCACTGTCTACATTCAGGAAGGAAGGATTGTTCATGATGGTAGGATGAAGAAGCATCATTAATGCAGCTGTACAGCAAGCACAGAGCATAAACGCTGAAGAAAAACTCCCTTTTAACAGGAAGAAACCTCCATTTTTACCATGAAGACAAGTGGACTGGAAAATGGTTTATAAATAAAGGCTGGTTTCGATTTTTCCAAATGTGCGACTTTTGTGTCACTATTTTATGCCTGCATAGTCATGTGACAGCAAAAACAGATAAGTATGTAAAATAGAAAAAATTTATCGTGAAATTGGCTCATCATCAAAATATTGATAATGTTCCCAGAGGAAGTGTAAGATTAAGCGTTAGCTGCAGATGATTCTAACAGCAATAAACATGTTGGATTTCCTGCTATAATTACATTCTT